TGTATTTCAGCATCTGGGCTTCACATTGTAGTGGACCGCAGTGCATTTCATCAACAATTCATATCTTGATCCATAAATCCATGTAGATCTGTGGGTTTATGGGTCAGCACTTACTGCGAGCATATGGTCTGACCCCAGCAGTTGCATTTGAGAGGCTTTACAGACCATATCTCCACTTATCTCAGATGGAGCTCCACCATCTCATACCGCTCTGTTCTCCACACACAGAGACAATTAGCCTACAATGGCAAATCCCAGCTGCAGATAAGCCGGAGTGTGGTTCCATTGTAAAGCCCATAAAACTGGTTTGACATGCGACAGAGTGCAGATTGGAGGAGATTAGGAAAAAAAGATGGAGCTGAGTGTAAGGGGAGTAGCAGAATGCTGTGTAATCTGCTGTAATGATCAGCTATTCAACACCCGACGGTAGTTAACGTGCCTTCGTGCGCTCAAGTTCCCCGTCCTGTCACACTCTCCCTTTCAGTGAACAATATCATGCCCTGAGGACTTTAGACGGTGAAAACATGAATGAATGTGGGAGACGGAGAGAGTGTGAGAAGAAAGAAACAAATAGTGCAACTTGTTAGTCAGGGATCACAACAAACATCTTAAGCCAACATGAAATCACAAATGAGACTATTTACTTCCTTAATCAAAAGCAGTGTTTTGTGGGTTTTGCAACCCATTTTACCAAAACAGCATATAACGACACTGTAGGTACTGTCCCAACCAAACATTCTATGTCAAACGTTTGGCAATCTAGTCGACATGAAATTTCATATATTCAATAAATGGGGGTTTAGTAAATGTTTCCTCTTTTTTTTTCAGGTTTTTTGCTATAAATAATTAAGTACATACATGAATAAATAAAAGGTAAGATTAGCATAAAGAATAAAGTATTATTATTATTACTGATAATAAAATATATTAATATTATTAATACAGTAATAATAAAAGTCATCATAAGAATAATATTCATTCATTCATTTGACTGAAATAGGATATTCAACAAGAAAAAAATAAGCAAGTAAGTAAATAAATAAATGTTATTATTATCAAAGTTTTGATTTATATTATAATATTTTTTATTTCTTGTTAAATATCATTTTTCACTTTTATGTATGACATATTATACAAGTAAAAGTTGTAAAAAATGTTTCATGCTGATTTTAGGAAAAAATTTCCAGTCTTTATTTAGTTTTTATTTTTATGTTTTAGTTATTTGATAAAACAAATAAATAAAAAATTGGTATTATTATTATCATAAATAATATATTTTTTATCAACAATATATATATTTTTTAAATGTTGAATATACTGTTTCACTCTTAAAGGGATAGTTCACCCAAAAATGAAAATTCTGTCATTAATTAGAGAAGAATTGTTAAATAAAGTCGTTATTTTTATAGCTTCATTAAATTACGGTTGAAGAGAAGAGAAGAGTTTTTGAATAAAGTTTTTATTTTTGTTGTCTTTGTGCACAAAAAGTATTCTCGTAGCTTCATTAAATTAAGGTTTTAACCACTGATGTCACATGGACTATTTTTATGATGTCCTTACTACCTTTCTGGGCCTTGGACGTGTCAGTTGCATTGCTGTCTATGGGAGGGTCAGAAAGCTCTCGGATTTCATCAAAAAAATCTTAATATATGTTTTGAAGATGAACGAAGGTTTTACGAGTTTGGAAGGACATGAGGGATTAAAATGACAAATTAAATCATTTGTAGTAATTAAAGACAGAATTTTCATTTTTGGGTGAACTATCCCTTTAAATATGCCACACAACAGAAGTCAAATAATATAAAAACCTAAAAAATAGGTTGTAAAAGCAATTTTATGTTGACTGTAGGAAAACACTTACTTCTTTTGGCCTGTTTGGGTGCCACGGGCTGCACAGCTGTAATTCCCAATCTGTCCCCCGAAACGCAGAGCCATGGCCACATCACACTCATCGACGGCAACCACAGCAACCTTTTCCTCAGAGGGGCCGTGAGGGATGCCAAGACGCCCTATATTGGGCTTGAATTGAAACAAGTGGAAATGATAAACAACTCTGATTCAATGATTTTGATTACTGCTAAAATGTGATGGTACTTCTTTTTTTTTATCTGACAGAAAAAAATAAAAGTAAAATAAATATTTTATAGTAGGTCTAGTACAAAAAATGTTATTCAGAGTATCATTATTTTTTGCTTTTATATTGATATGTTTTTAAAAAACCCTAAAGTAATGTAATGAAGATCACACATTTGTCACCATTAATCCTTTGTTTTAAATCTTCTTCTTACATCCTGGCTAAGAGTCCCAAAGTTTGTGTATCTGAATAGCATTTCCATTCACCCCTTTTGTGAGTTTGGAGATAATAGGTCTTGTTTGTCTGTAATCTTTAACACACAGCATGAGATGACTGTTTACCACTCGGTGACATTCTGTGGCTTTCTCAGCTCATCTAATTGGATTATGCCACAGAGATGCTGGCACAGAGGAGATACCAGACAAAGAGAGCTCATCATTTCATGTAAAACCTCCCCAGAGACCCAAACTGTTTCCACAACACAGCCAAAATTTGTATTATCATCTGGCAACACCCTTCCCCCACACAAGAGGTTTTTCAAATTTTCTCAGCTTATTAAAATTGATTTTGTGGTGCGTATGATGTGCTGAGTTGCTCTTTGATGTCTGCCCTGTGGTGTTAAAAAATGTCCAAGTGACAGTTTGGTGTGATGTGAACATCACTCGCTCCTAAAGACAGTTCATTACACCACTGCGGTCACTATTCAGACTCGGATGTCGACAGAACAGAACTATCTGTGTAGAAAGAGAGTGTAAGCAGAATAATATTTATAAAGTGTTTGTCAAATTATTACATAATGATAATAATAATAGCAACAATAATTTATTATTATTATTATTATTATTGAGTGTTGCTGTCTATAAATCAAAGGGATAATTAAATAAATAATAAATTTATAAACTTTGCATAATAATCCTAATAATAATTATTATTATTTTTATTATTATTTTTAGTGCTGCTGTCAATAAAGCAAAGGGATAATTAAAATATGTAAATAATAAATAAATGTTAATACTTCTATTCAACTTTAAATATCAATAATACAATAATAAAGTAACTAACTAAATAAATGAAATAAAAAAAAAATGTATGCAATATTATATATTGAAACTATGAGGGTGCTTTGACTGTTTCTTTTCTCCTTTACTAACTTTTTACTAAACATTCACACATTCATAAATTAGATGGCAGTTTTAATATTCCTCTCAGTTTCTGCCAGACAGCAGAGATGAATAAGGCAATGTGAGTAGACTGCTAAACTGGTCAACAAGGAAAGCCATGAATGGGAGCATTCCTACACACTGACGCACGTGTCGTGGAATAAATCCAACTGGTCAAGGCCTGAAGCCAACTGTTCAGGCAACATCAGTCATATAACTTTAAAAAATTGTGTGAAAACCTGGTGAAAAAAAATGGTTTGAGACTCTTTTTGACAGACCGTATACCATCCAAATATCAAGTTTCTACTGCTATTAAAGTGGTTGTACGTCTCTATTACAATTTTCATCAGGTGCACAACAATCTGTAAAGGAAAAAATATTATGAAAAGAAAACGGATTCAGGATCAGAGTGCTGACGACCCTTAAGAGGTCACTGCAACTCAACCCTCTGCCACTCTTAATAAGGATCCACCTCCATCGTAACGCCATGATGATCCCACAATCTCTCTTGTCTCGAGTCCACTGACGAAAATGAACTCAATGACAAGCTCAATGCTCTCAGGACATTGCACACAAATCCTGACAACAGCTATTAACCCCCAACCTTGTAACTCATCAGCCTTTTTGTTTCAAAGTTCAAAACAATAGTTAATAGATCCTGGGGCCTACACGTGAGTTTTTTTTCCCTTTCCAAATTATTATAAGGCAGAAAATGTATGTTCTGTTTGGGGTCAGTGAAACCCAAAAGACATAGTAATAGCTTAACATACTTGACTGTTCTTTAATGATTTTTCTGAATCTTATGAGAACTGACTATAAACAAATTTTGATATCATGCTTCGTACGTGATAATTGAATCACCCCTAAATACAACACATGTATATACTGTAAATTCAATGACTTTTCACATGCTGTTACTGGTGTACAAAGTGTAGAAATAAACTGTTGCCAATTGATTTAGTTTTCTCGTTTAATTATTTTTTTCTACCATGTGCATTTGCCAAGGTCAAATTTATCACAAACAGAAGCAAATAAGCAAATCAGCATATGTGAATGATTTCTGAAGGATCATGTGCCACCGAAGACTGCAGTAATGATGCTGAAAATTCAGCTTTGCATCACAGGAATAAATTACATTGTATAATAATTTAAAATAGAAAACAGTCTTTTTAAATTGTAATAATATTTCACAGTATTATTGATTTTAAATGTATTTTTGATCACTTAAATTAAGTCTTGGTGAACAGAAGAGACTTCAAATACAGATTAAAAATATTATTAACTACTATTATTTTTACACGTACATAATTGAGGTCTCTGTGACTTCAAACATAAAAACAGTCAGTCTCAACAAACTATTAGGTTTAAAACACTGCCAAACTGTGAATTAATGCAATGTTTTTTCACCATCAAAGGATTGTTTGTAAAAATTGCATTAGGTCGCCACTAGCTGGCTCCACACACCTGGACCGTGACAGGGACACTTTAAAGTGAGGAGACCTGACTCTTCAAAGCATCACTGCATTACAGCTGCATCCCATTGTGTTTGCTTATTATTACTCAAGGTAAATATCTGAAAGTGTATTCAAAAACATTTGAGTCCATTGACAAAATAACACACAGAACAAACAAAATAAATCAAAGATCAATGGGGAAAGCAAAAGATCAATGGGGTCAAACAGAAGTGATAGTTTTTAAGTCACCATTTCACAATTGCTTAGCAATTAAATCTTGTTAGAAATTTTTGAATGTCAAAATAGAGATAGAGAATCTGCCTTGTTGTCGCTCCATTAAATATCCTTATTTGAATCCTTGTTGTCCTCGTTATCCTGCCTGCCTCCACACACCTGGACCGTGACAGGGACACTTTAAAGTGAGGAGACCTGACTCTTCAAAGCATCACTGCATTACAGCTGCATCCCATTGTGTTTGCTTATTATTACTCAAGGTAAATATCTGAAAGTGTATTCAAAAACATTTGAGTCCATTGACAAAATAACACACAGAACAAACAAAATAAATCAAAGATCAATGGGGAAAGCAAAAGATCAATGGGGTCAAACAGAAGTGATAGTTTTTAAGTCACCATTTCACAATTGCTTAGCAATTAAATCTTGTTAGAAATTTTTGAATGTCAAAATAGAGATATATTTTGGTAGAAGATGAGAGATGGATTTCCGTACTTCACCACAACCTTACCATATGGACGAGGCTCCAGATGGAGCAAAACTTCATGAAATAAAAAAGCATATTCTGGAGATTTACAATAATAGGCTGGAGCGTTTTTATGTTTAAGTGCAACAGAAAAAACGTGTGCCATCTGGTGCTTTTAGAAACTCTGAGCGTGTTATTGTAGTCCCGGATTAACTCAACAGGGGATCTGCTATTGTCTGCATTCCCCATCGGACTATATTGAACTTGGACTCTTTAAGTGACGTGTTAAGGGGGAGCTACGGGCACAATGGAGCAAACACGACATACGCGTTGACTCTCAAAAGATGGCTTTAGGGTCTGATTTTTCATTCATGTTTACAAGTATAAACGGTGCTCCAATCCAATAATACTCTCGCTAACTTACATGCTACATTATATTAGATACATTCTGGTTGCAGTCACTGGTATTAATGACTTTCTTTTTTAACTTTTTTAGCCTTTCATCAGTTTAGTGCAACTTGTGTAGATGTAAAAAAAAAAAAAAATTTTTTGAAAATATGGACCCTCAAAAATAGAAACCCACAGCATGCTGACTGTCATCCCTCAGGGACAAATGTTTCTTTCTGAAGAGATTTCAGTGAGATTTTCTAAAGCTTCACTATGATTCAGGAATACTGTGACAGACTCAGCTATGTTCTTTATGAACAAATACTGTTTTAAAGTTAGACAGCATGGAAATAAGGCTACTAAAAGGTCACTAAGGAACATAAGAAGGGTCGATGAAAGCTTAATGTATTCAAGCAGAATGAATTGCCCGTGCAACTACAATATGGTGAGGTATTTGCAATTGAGCGACAACAAACAACAAAACACTCAAGAACTATTTGTTTCAAAACAAGAAGAACAAGAATTTAATACCGTATTAAATAATACTAACACTATGGGTTACAAAATACTCTTAAAAACAAGACGCTGTGTAATGAGATGCCTGGGTCACAGAATAAACGCACTTAGCTTTTGGCCATGAAACATGACACATGACGTATTACACACGCACCAAACTTCATAAATGCTGCATCTCAGCAACTCACTGAAATATGAGGGTCTGAAAACTGAACGGGATCAAAGAAGCAGAAATACAAGCTGTTTCTTTTGACTGCAGTTCTTAGAAGATGCTGTGAACTTTGATACAGCTAGAGATGCCGCTGATATCACGTGTCTTCTTTCATGAAATATGGACACACTGATCTCATCAAGAAACGCTACTTGTAAGGTTCTGACTTTCTCTAGCATTGGAATAATAATTTGACTGAAGTGCAAATAAAATGATAATGGACTTTAACTGGGTAAAAAAAAAATGAGTGGTGATTTTAGCACACATTTCTAATATTCTACCTGATTTGACCTAAAATTATTATTTTGTTAACATATCCTAATGTAAATTATATTTCAATAACCTAAATAAAACCAGTTTTAAAACCAAATTAAGCATTTTTACACACTTATTCATGAAGCACAGACAGAAAAAATTTGTGTAAATTGTTTGTAAAACTATTCGTACAGAAAGTGCTGTCATATTCAATCCAATTCCTGAAAGATTTAAACAAATTTCATGATTTCATGAATGAGCCCCATTGGTTTTCCTTCACTGACCTTCCAACCAGCCGCCATTCTTATTGTGTTCAGTACAAATGACTTACCTTGTTGTAGTAATGTAGGTGTACTCTGTGCCATTGTCCATCACTAACCCCACCAGCTACAAATGGAGTCACTGTGGTTTTAGTTTCTCCTAAAAAGAAATAACAAGAAAGAAGAAACCAGTTTTGCTGAAATTCAAGAAAGAGTAATTCTGCTAGTGATAATTGGATAAGGAAAAAATGTTTTTAACATGTATGATATATATTTTCATGACAACATAATTAATATAAATATTAAATAAATTCTAAATACTACATATATATAGTTTAACACTTAGCACAATATGCAATACAATACAATTCCCCATAGCAAAAATCCCAAACAAATTAATTGGCTCCAAAGCACCTTGAGGATTTTAATTTGTGTGGCATTTTTCCAGTCTAGTGGACAAAATAAGTAAATCATTATCGAGGAGATAATAGTGTGTCAGGGCCTCCCATGACAGCACTTTCCCTCAGTGCATACAATGTCAAATATCTTAGTTGTTTATATCTCTCTCCAACTCAATTATGTTGAGTGATGGCTAGTAAGCTGGGACAGACCTTTGACCTATGAGGGTTCATGATTTACCAGAATCGCTGTGTTGTTTGATGTTTTACATTCCAGGACAGTGGAGGAAATGCCTTTCACTGTCTTTATTCTCAGCTCATGTGGACGGGTGACCCTCAGTGTTGTTGTAAGACGTAACAAGCATCTGCTTATACCAAGACGCTCTAGGGATGAATTCCACTGTCGTATTTCCTTTGGAAACAATTCTGACCCATTAAAGAGACGGGACATGGTATTTCACACTCACCGACTGGACAGTAACTCTTGTTGATGTGTGAGGTTTGACAAAACAAAGGAACAGGTAGACAGAGGAAGTGTGTTTCAATGCTCTTTGGCCACCTGTTTCCTTTGGCACAGCTCTGGATACATCTATACGCACTTATGTTTGAGATATGACACTCAAAAAAGGAGCTTTTTCAGATTCAAATCTGACTAAAACCCATTTAGTTGTTTAGCAGTTTGAGCAGACAAAAACAAAACGAAATAAAAAACAAACAAAATGAAATGAGACAAAACAACACAAAATGAAACAAAACAAACACATTTTGCAAAAAAAAATTTGAATCAAAAATATGTAGTTTATTTAATTGGGTTCATGATTTACCAGAATCACTGTGTTGTTTGATGTTTTACATTCCAGGACAGTGGAGGAAATGCCTTTCACTGTCTTTATTCTCAGCTCATGTGGACGGGTGACCCTCAGTGTTGTTGTAAGACGTAACAAGCATCTGCTTATACCAAGACGCTCTAGGGATGAATTCCACTGTCGTATTTCCTTTGTAACAATTCTGACCCATTAAAGAGACGGGACATGGTATTTCACACTCACTGACTGGACAGTAACTCTTGTTGATGTGTGAGGTTTGACAAAACAAAGGAACAGGTAGACAGAGGAAGTGTGTTTTTAGTTTAACACTTAGCACAATATGCAATACAATACAATTCCCCATAGCAAAAATCCCAAACAAATTAATTGGCTCCAAAGCACCTTGAGGATTTTAATTTGTGTGGCATTTTTCCAGTCTAGTGGACAAAATAAGTAAATCATTGTCGAGGAGATAATAGTGTGCCAGGACCTCCCATGACAGCACTTTCCCTCAGTGCATACAATGTCAAATATCTTAGTTGTTTATATCTCTCTCCAACTCAATTATGTTGAGTGATGGCTAGTAAGCTGGGACAGACCTTTGACCTATGAGGGTTCATGATTTACCAGAATCACTGTGTTGTTTGATGTTTTACATTCCAGGACAGTGGAGGAAATGCCTTTCACTGTCTTTATTCTCAGCTCATGTGGACGGGTGACCCTCAGTGTTGTTGTAAGACGTAACAAGCATCTGCTTATACCAAGACGCTCTAGGGATGAATTCCACTGTCGTATTTCCTTTGTAACAATTCTGACCCATTAAAGAGACGGGACATGGTATTTCACACTCACTGACTGGACAGTAACTCTTGTTGATGTGTGAGGTTTGACAAAACAAAGGAACAGGTAGACAGAGGAAGTGTGTTTCAATGCTCTTTGGCCACCTGTTTCCTTTGGCACAGCTCTGGATACATCTATACGCACTTATGTTTGAGATATGACACTCAAAAAAGGAGCTTTTTCAGATTCAAATCTGACTAAAACCCATTTAGTTGTTTAGCAGTTTGAGCAGACAAAAACAAAACGAAATAAAAAACAAACAAAATGAAATGAGACAAAACAACACAAAATGAAACAAAACAAACACATTTTGCAAAAAAAAATTTGAATCAAAAATATGTAGTTTATTTAATTTTTTTAATATATGTGACTGCAATATCGGTAATATCATTAAAACATATTTTATTGGTTTCTTAATTTTTTTTATTAAACAAAAGCACTTGGTACTGTTCTTAAAATGTTAATTATTATTTGAAATTTTATATTTTTAAATTTTATATTCAAACTAAAATGAATTGTCTTACTTACCAGCAGAGAAGGTCAGCTGGATTTGCTCTTCAATAATTTCAATCGCAATGAAATCATGCCTTTCATTAAACCTGCCATTATATAGGAGCAGGGCATTTCTCTCCCTGGTAGCAAACCTATGAAAAAATAAACAAATTAATAAAACCTTAATGAAGACCATAATAAACTTGTTCAATTCAAAGTGTAAATTAGGATCCACAGGCCATTTAAAAAAAGTTTCATAAATTAGTTTTAATCTTGTTTTACACCGGATTTATCATATTTTAATCAGACATTCCATTTGAATGAATATTCATTTCTGATCCACAGATCAAGAGCAGGAAAAAAAGCTCAGGAACGTCCTAAAATCACTCACAACACAAACATGCAGGCTTGACAGAAGAATAAAAAAAGATAGGGAGTGGAGGAAAAGGAAGTGATAAAACCTGCCAAGAGACACAGCTAGAGGTAATGGACGGGGGAAACTGATACTCTGATGTTTGCCAACCTCTGGTATCT